AGCATCGTTAAAAGTAACCCGAATAGAAAACTCACTCGAGTTTTCGCTTGGGGTTATAAGGGACGCCTTCAGCTTATTGTGGAGGTCCTAGAGAAAAATACGAGTGTTGAGAAGGGACAAACTATTTATGATTATAGTGTTAAACATGGAAATAATTGAATGAAGTAGCACGTAGAATAATTTGAGTGACTTCACTAAATAGTGAAAGGTAAAGACTGCGCAACTCACTTGTCGAAGAGCCTGGTCCATGTAAGATGTAGTCATTGCACGTTCGGGCATCACTTTTACCTTGATTTCATGCGCACGTCCTGTTCGCAAATGAGCACCGGACTCACTTGGCGCCGGCGGATTGACTAGCCAATTGTTCGCAGCGAAATTATCTGATTCACTACTTTTAGCGTTTGGATCATCCGAAAGAGGATAGAAAGAGGACAGAGGAAGATTCGAAGAGCCGTCGCTTGGGAATCCAATACCTACTCCTTCTTCGGATGTTAAATGTCGCGAAGAGATCGGTGGGAAGTGGTTGAGATGATCGTGAACTTTTGATTCATTATTTGACGGGTTAAACCCGTCAGCATCAAGAACTGGCCGACTTCCTGAAAAGTGACGATTGGGAATCGGGTTTGGTTTCATGTCCAACAACAAGTCACTATTATTGCCTCGACCGCTAAGACGATTAGCAAGGAAAGCAGTCTTTATCAGTTCGTCCTGTGGAGTTCCGTGCAACTTTCCCTCTAGCGCTGTGCTGTTTAGAGAGGCACCAGTCTAAAAGATGGCATTAGTAAAACATTAACAAAAGATTTTTTGCCAACGCTAAGAGGAATGCGTTTTGATAACTACACTTACACATTATAATAACTTAACGGGGATTCGACTAATTATTCTTTATATTAGTCAATCAATGAAACAAATAATGAGTTAGATGATAAAACGCTGTGAACAAGCACACTTTCTATTAACCTGGCAGGCCTGTATTAACAAATGGCGCCAGCTAGCTAGAAAAAGCCAGAGCCCAAAAAGATAATCGCCTATCCAAGAGAAGATTCTTAAGCCAAATTCGATTATTTTTGCTGCGGTACGCTGAAAGCAGTTTAAAAATGTCAACATCAATGGGGAGGCCGGGTGAAAGATGAAATAAGTATATTTTTAATGGCTCCAACCTTCGCTCCTGCGGAGTTTCTTCGCCAAAAATATCAAGAATGAAGTATGCTAACGATTTTGAGCTTGATTAAAAAGTTTCTTGAGAATAATTTCTCTTGGACTCGTGAACTTTTCTATCGAACAAACACTTCAGTACCACAGATGTCATTGTCAAGGTAACGTGAAACGATTATATTTGCACGAAGTCTAAAAATCAAGCACCACGGGTATAAAAAGCAATGCAATCAAGAAAGATAAAACATACTTCTGCCAGATGACTCAAAATTGAACTCCGATCAAGCCATGAGTTATTGTTGGCATTTGAGGGCTGACTGAATTGATTGTTACCAGACATCATCGAACCGAAAGACCTGGCTTGAGTAAAACGCTGCAAAGGATCGCTGGAATTTGAAGAGGGCGACAAACAAGCATTCGCAAGCGATATCGAAAGAGTAGAAACGTCGGAATATTCAGGATTCTACAAATTGATTAATTAGGCTAGATACGCACTGGGCTTACATTGACCGCCGAAGGCGTAAACGGAAATCTCGGAGGAAATCCTGACGGCCTAATGCCTGACGGGAAATAGTTCGTCATCTTTAGTTATTTCTTCACAGAAATCAATCAAGCAAACAAGACATTCAAATCCAACAACCACTAAGGCCGAACAAGGTCAAAGTCCGCGGGAATAGCTGCTTGCACTTTGATTGGTTTCTTATACTATCCCATTGTGATAAACAAGTGAATAAAGAACCACGGACCTACTGATGGAGGAAAGTACGTATGCATTATTATAAACCCCTATATGAAGGAATGGCCCCGGGGACCATTCTTCGGGAATTTAATAGTAAATTTCGACGCATTACTTGGTGGAAATGACTAAAGCGTGCATAGATCACAATTCTGGAAGACCTCTGCGAATATCTAATGGCCTATAGCGTACAGGCTAGGCACTATAATGTCTCACAGATACTTGA